TTTCAGGATTATGGCAATAGCGGAGATTCTCTCTCATTTGTTCCGTTGTTTTCCAATCTCTTCTAGATTCATCCCATAGGTCCCCCACCCGGGTGATCCCGTTCTTGACCCATCCTTTCCATGGGGAATCCGAACTGCAAAAGATTTGACTGTGTGAATTTGTGATCCACCGGTTCCCAAAAAGGGGTTGTCTTGCCACCTCTTCCCAACGCTCTAGGGGTGGGCGATCTGGGGGGGGGAGTTTTCTCCATATTTTGATTAATCGCGGCCACAGAGCTTCTCGTGCCCCCCCCCCCCGGGGGCTGTCTCTTATACACATCTAGATGTGTATAAGAGACAGGAGCTACCCGTGCCCCCCCCCCCCGGGGTCTCCTTGGGACCTTCCAATATCTGTCGTCTAACCACCTCAGCGGGTCTACGTCTGGAGGAGATTGCTGGGCAAGATGTGCGATCTGTCTCATAGCCAGCGGTTTCCACTGCAAGGATAATTTGAAAATCAGACGCACGAACCATAACAGGCTCAATGCCTGTATCTGCGTGGGAGGATCTAGTATACCTAGTCCACCTTGGGCTTTTTGCTGGACCACTGAGTCTCATGCCACTCTGCTCATAGCGTTGGTATTTTGGCTATCTGCTCTCCACAAGTATGCTGCCACTTTTCACTTTAGGGTTTTTTGGGCTGCTTCACTAACTGGCCATAGGACAGACTTATACCATAGTGTAGCTAGAACCACGTTGTTGACTACCAGAGACCTTCCAAAAAGGGATGTGTGCTTGTGGTCCCATTGAATAAATTTGGCCAGCGCTGGGGCTGTGATCCATTCGTCATTGTCGAGCGGGCAGTCGTGTGTCGTCATCTTTACCCCCAGGACCCTTACAGGTGCATCCTGAGGGAGCCATGTGATGCGTGGTTCCTCCGGGGGACGGCCCCCTTCGTGGTGAATCCACCAACCCCGGGTTTTTTGCCCCCAGTTGATGGTCATGTCTGAGAGGGCGCATAATCTGTCCATCAACCTCTTAATTTCCTCCATATTTTCAGATGTTGCGTCTATCATGATTGTCAGGGCGTCGGCGAACAGTGAGCATATCGGAAGAGCTTCGTAACAAGGGGGCTATCGGATCTCCTTGCCTGACTGATCTGTGAAGTCTGATCTCCGGGGCTAAGGTGTCGTTTATCTGCCTGGTGGTAGCGTTCTGGTGCAGGATCCTAATCCATTTTCGGAACGATGGTCCGAAGTTTAGCTTTTCAAGGCATTTGTCCAGGAAGGTCCACTCGACATGGTCGTAGGCTTTCTCAAAGTCAATAAAGACAAATGCAGCATTACTTTTATCTTTGCGTGCTAAGTCTATTACATCGTGGATTAGGAGTATATTTTCTTGAATATTCCTGTTACGAATGAGCCCCGTTTGTGATGGGTGTATACTCATAATAACAATGTATCCTGGAGCTTTAATATCGCAGAAAAAGAATACATCGTTAAGGTGGCAAACACACCGCCACACAGTCCTTCTACTCCTTCACCGCTCAGACTGAATGCGGACGTCGGCCGCTTCACTTACTATATACTAGTCCTAGGCTATCGTAAGCACCGTATACCAGTCTCTAGCTGGTTCCGAGTAAAAAACTTGAAATACCAAAAAACTTTAATCAAACACAATAAACTCAGAAAATACTCAGAACAAAAATAAAAATAAAATAAAACGTTGAATCAAACGCGTAATTCTGGTCTCGTATGAGCCGCTTACTGCGACGTTTGATCAGGTGATCCCGCAGGCCCGGTGCGTATCGATTTCCTGTTCATAATAGGTCAAGCCCTCCTGCTGGTTGGAGAGTGTGGTGCACGTAGTACCCTGACCAAGCTCAACTGTTTGTACCCTGCACTTGCATCCTGACAACTCCAGCTGTGTGGCACGCTTCTCAGTCCCTTCCTCAATGTCTGTAGTCGTAGTATCAAAACGCGCGGCATCCAAAAATCTTCATCCTCGTGTGCTCGACCACTGTATGATTTCGTACCCCTCCACCGATGCCTCTATGCTGCAGGCATATCTCAACTATTGTGTGATTTCATACCCCTCCACAGATGCCACTATGCAGCAGGCGTATCTCGAGTCGAATATGACCAACACTTTCTTACTCCATTTCGTACCCCCCCGTAGATGCCCTGAAGTTGTACATATAAATCAGGCCAAGCCCTCCCTCCCACCCTATGTGCCATCTTCTCCAGTCCATTCAAAAAAATCTCACTCGGATAATCGAGCGATATTAATTCTCTGTGGAAAGTTATCAGGCTCATCAGCAGTGTTCCTTATGCTGACGTATTTGCATTTATCCGGTGTAGTGTCTCAATCACGAAGGCAATCTTCTGTTCCTTGGAGCTGTAGGAACCATGATTTCGAATAATAATAATCTTGTGTTCTTGTTTGCTCCAGATTGTATCAAAATTCTTGAATTTGTGAATGCAGTGTATCTCATCCGGATGTTCGGTGACCAGAACTCTAGTTTCGAGGAAATCCACTACATTCGAACCATCATCGGTTCGTTCCAAGATCAGATTGTTGTTGTAGCAGGTGTTAATTCTTTCAATCCTCTGCTCAATTTTTATCTTTTTCTTCGCGTTATTCTTCTACCAGGTAATCAAAAGCAAATCATCAATGAACCTTTTTCCACATACGAGTTTTCTTTGGTAACAAGTGATTTTAAATAAGCGTTCTCAGAAAACATGCAAACTAAGCAAGCCAACGAGGGGCTAGCATGCCCACCCATTGGTATGCCAGTGTCCTGTTTGAAGATCTTGCCTAATGACTTGAAAAACACATTTTTGAGCAAAAAATCGGTCATTTTCACAAGATCAGTTAATCTTATTGATTTCCATCCGCCCTCGCCTGCGGATTTTGCGAACTTGGCTCCTTTGCCTCTCAGTTTCACCCTGATCCAATTTTTTCCGTTGTTACGGAATTCTTCCATTATCCATTTCACGACTTTTCTGATGTCATCATGGGGGATCATAGTGAACATTTCCTTTATATCAAAGGAACGTATTCCTTTATATCAAAGGAACGTACTATGATCCTGAAGTCATTCCCACCTTTTCTAGCCTTCTCATTCGCCTGCTCGATACCATGTTTCAGGTCTCGAGTAGCGATCATATTGAAATGTTCCTTCTTTGAGGATCGAATCATCTCATTGAATGCTTTCGATAGGATCCTGGTGGCTGATCTCAACGGGCTCTGATAAGATGGACAAATAAGTTTTTTTTTCGATAGATCTTTCTGTTTGCTCATGATGAAGACATCCTGAATTTTCCCATCCCTGTTCAAGCTCATGATCCTGTTCAACTTCTTTTCCTGAAATTGTTGTCTCATTCGCCTTAATATCTGGATTTCCGAATCGCCGACTTTCTTATACTTGCCATTCAAATTGAAAGTCGTTTTCATCCCTTGACAGTAGAGCCAAGGACATTCTACCAAAGTGTTACCTGGATTTCTATCAAGAGGTGAAAAGACGAGTCCCTTGAATGCATTTTTTACTCCTTTGACATACTCAACCAGAACAACCTTCTCATTTCTGTCAACTTTATGCTCGCGAATCTTCAAACTTGGTATCTTGATTCTTTCATGTGGATTAACAATCCCAGCTTTCTTCAAGGGGTCGATCGCATCATTGCAAGCAATCTCAATGTCATTCAAGCAACATAATTTATCGGGATTCGGGACATTTCGTGAGTTGTGTAGGGAGGGGTGAATGTCAGGGATATCATGCAGTCTGACCTGGACATGCCCTTGTACTTTGGGCAGGTCGAATTCTCCGCATAAACACGTACCCTCGCTTTTTGCGGCGTGTTTATGATTATGCAGGAGGTTCGCAATGGTCTTTGCTTTTGTGAAGACCATGTGAAGCCTTTTCTACATCAGGCGACTTAATGACGTCAAAGACACTTTATCCTCAACCCAATCACACATTGCACTTCTAATTTCCTTCTTATCATTTTGTTCGCTAAATGGTACTTTTACAGCCAATCGCATCCTGGGATTGATCCCAATTCGCCGTTTGATCTCGGTGGACAAGATACCTCGCAGGATCTGTCGTCCTTTTTTATTTTCGATGCATTTCATTTCATTCACATATTTGAATAATACATCTGTGTTTTTCCATTTTAACTCCTTACGTTTCCAAGGGGCTCGTAATAATGAAAGGATCTCTGACTTGTTTCGATCAGCGTTTGATTTCGTTTTCACCAAGCATTCAATTGTCCATTCACCGCCTTTTTCAATCTGGGTTTTCGCATCCTTTAGTAACAATTTACATCCATTAATGCAAATTTTACTGGATCCATATACAAGTTTTATCAATCGTCAGAATTTCCAACGGTTGCTCGGATTATTCATTACTGTGATCGGTCTTCGTTTCCCTTTTGCTGATCGAAGAATTCTCATCAGATCAGTGGAGCACTCAATATCAACATCAGAAGACGAGAACGTTAATAGCCTTCATTCATTCACAACCTGTATTGTGTCCTTATTCTTCTTTCTAGATCTACGAGGTCTAAATCGTGGTTTGTGCTTCCTGGTATTCAACCCAGGATTTTCATGTTCAATCACGTACTTTACCATTTCAAGCAATTCCGATTTCTCTCCAAACCAAATCGGAATAATCGCATACGTATGACAACCTTTCTTCTCCAACCACTTGTGTACTTTCGACACAGGCTTCTTTCTTGAATCCCTGAAGTGTTCCTTCCATCTATCTAAGAATTCTCTCCCCGTCTGCCCGACGTATGTGGCTCTAAAGAAAGGTGAAATCATAACATATACGCATTTATCCCCATCTATCAATCTCGTCAGATCGGTTTCGCCCAGCTAACCAGTATTTTATATATGTACGACCCTAGTTCAAAAACCCTTTGAAGCAACCCCACAATACCACGATCCGGAATAACTTATCGATCTCACTTCTATAGGATCCAACATTGCAATCCCCTTGGGAATCAAATTTCAGTAACCTCGACAATCGCCGGAAGGTTCTCGGCCAAACCCTCTTCGATTTCCAAATCGGTTCTCCAAGACATCGTCTTCTTCATCGGAGGTCTGGTCAGCTTCGTCCTCGTCGGAGGGCTCTGAAGGAGTCGTATCTTCTTCTTCCTTCTTGTTAACAAGCTTGGTGTACTGCTCGGTGTCCTGTTTCGCGAGCTCTCATACTCCCTTATCCTTTCTTGCGCACTTCAAACCACGGTTGTTGCACAGCGTGCGCACCTCCTTGTATGTCATACCCATGTATCGATCGAGCCTCCCCTTCATATATTCAATCACGTCACCATCCTTCGTCCATTTTTCTTCCTCCTCGGCCTCAGCGGCCGATCCACTCATTTCTCCATCCTCTTTCTCTTCGTTGCTTTTTTGCTCCTCCAAACTGTTGTGTTTTACCTCCGTGTTGATTTGCGCATGTCTCTTTTCCGACAACCTCCGTTCCAGCCTCCTCCTTGACGTTGGTTTTCTTTACCAATGCGCCGAGTAAGTTCAAAATCTCATCCAATCGATTATCTCACCCGGCCTGTTTCCGACCATTTTCATTTGAGGTTCTCTCCTTCCCTCTATGATCTTCTTCATCCGATGAGATCATAATACGAGGCTGACGTACCTTGACGCCACCGCTCCGGGGTTTTGATTTCACCCTGCTAAGCGCAGGTGAATTCACCGCCCTTTTTCTTTTTTCACTACTCCCACTCCCCTTCTCTTTTCCTTTTACTCCCGCCTCGAGCTCCACGATCTTCTTCTTCATCTTCTCCGTTTCTTCCAACTTATGATTGATCTTCTTCAGTGATGTCCCAAATGCACTCGAAATCCACGACTTAATCCGCTCTTCACTCGCTTCGACCTCAATGTTGTTCTTCTTCTTGTCCTTCTTGTTTGAACATGTCACACTTGCACCGCTTGATAGGACTCACCGAGGAACGAATAGGAGAGAGAGCGCTGACACACAGCAAGAAAGCCAATTACGAATCCAAGATACAAGTTGCTCGAGCCTGGTATAGGATACTACGCTCTCCCAATCACGGTGTTGTGATAATAAATGACAACGATACCAATAAAGATAATGAGAATTTGAAATAATAACGATAAGAATAATTAGAATCAAGAATGATTCTAAAAGCTCTCCCGCTATGGTCGTCGAGTGAAAAACATGCGACGATGGCAATGCTACTCTCTTAGCCAAGATGCGTGAGGCACTAGTGAAGCGTTCCCAAGCATTACTGCAAGGTCGTTTCACTAGTTCAACGAGCATACTTATAATAACAATGTATCCTGGAGCTTTAATATCGCGGGAAAAGAATACATCGTTAAGGTGGCAAACACACCGCCACACAGTCCTTCTACTCCCTCACCGCTCAGACTGAATGCGGACGTCGACCGCTTCACTTACTATATACTAGTCCTAGGCTATCGTAAGCATCGTATATCAGTCTCTAGCTAGTTCCGAGTAAAAAATTTGAAATACTAAAAAACTTTCATCAAACATAATAAACTCAGAAAATACTCAGAACAAAAATAAAAATAAAATAAAACGTTGAATCGAGCGCGTAATTCTGGTCTCGTACGAGCCATTTACTGCGACGTTTGATCAGGTGATCTCGCAGGCCCGGTGCGTATCGATTTCCTGTTCATAATAGGCCAAGCCCTCCTACTGGTTGGAGAGCGTGGTGCACGTAGTACCATGACCAAGCTCAACTGCTTGTACCCTGCACTTGCATCCTGACAACTCCAGCTGTGTGGCACGCTTCTCAGTCCCTTCCTCAATGTCTGTAGTCGTAGTATCAAAACGCGCGGNCTGACAACTCCAGCTGTGTGGCACGCTTCTCAGTCCCTTCCTCAATGTCTGTAGTCGTAGTATCAAAACGCGCGGCATCCAAAAATCTTCATCCTTATGTGCTCGACCACTGTATGATTTCGTACCACTCCACATATGCCTCTATGCTGCAGGCATATCTCGACTACTGTGTGATTTCATACCCCTCCACAGATGCCACTATGCAGGAAGCGTATCTCGAGCCGAATATGACCAGCACTTTCTTACTCCATTTCGTACCCCCCCCTAGATGCCCCGAAGTTGTACATATAAATGAGGCCAAAATGGATAGATGCCCCGAAGTTGTACATATAAATGAGGCCAAAATGGATGGGTGCATCAAGTCTTCCGCCACTTCGATTATGCGATTGGCGAGCGCCTTGGATAACATCTTGTAGACCACTGTCGGGAGGGTGATCGGGCGGTGCTTGCGTATATTCATTCTGTCTCTTTTTTTGTGAAGCAAAGAGAGCACTCCTTGCCCCAGCATTTCCCCCATCTCTCCTGTGCTCCAGACTTCCTCATAGAATTGCATCAAATCATCAGAAAGGTGCGGCCGCATAGTTTCCCAAAGCTCTTTTGGGAAACCATCAATCCCCGAGGTCTTTTCCTCTTCCATCTGCATTAGCGCGGTCCAGATCTCTTCCTTATTTTGTCTTCTATCCGTTCCATCTGCTCCGCCGAAAGGCGTCCCTCCATGTGGTCTACGAACCCCTCCACTTCTGCTAAGCGGCAGGGGTCCTGTGGCTGAGGGATCTGGGATGAGAAGAGGTCTTGGTAAAAGGTTCTGGCTATCTTTACACAATGTGCCGTGGTCGTGGCCAACTCGTCTGTCGTAGGATTGAGAAGTGCCTCCATCGTCGTGCGATGGGCTTTGATTGATGCGAGACTAAAGAATTGTGAATCCATTGTTCCTTCAGTGGTCCATTTCGCAAGCTTACCTCTGATTCCGACTCCTTGCCATCTATACTGGGCATAATGTAACGGTTGGTCTTTTAGTTTCTGAATGTCGTTCGTGTGCTCCGCTGAATTGTTCTGGGTGACCAGGTTATGAAGTTGGTTGTGGATTTCCATTTCCCGAGAGTACCATTGGTTGGCTACCATTTTAGAATAATCCTTACATTTTTTGCCCAAAAAAAAAAGGCCATTTGTAAACCATTAGATTGTCGAATAGAGGAGTTTTTTTGGTTGTGCCAATAAGCCCAAACGTTTCTAATGAAGTTCCGAAAGTCGTCGATCTTTAGCAATGAGGTATTGAGTTTGAAATAGCCCGACCCTTGATCGGGCCGCTTACGGAAGGTAAGAATGGCGCCACATGTGCAATGGTCTTGCCCCGGATAAGGGTTTTGCGAGAATATGGCCGAGAGTTGTAGAGCGTTTTGTATGGCCTGAGAGATTAGGATCAAATCAATGCGGGATTTTGTATGTCTGATAGGGTCGCTGGTGCGAAGGCAGGTGTAGGCCCGATCCTTTGGGTGTAGGTGGCGGTATGTGTCGATTAGGGAGAGGGCCGTGCTAAAACGGGAGATGTTTTTTTCATCTTCGTCCACGTATTGAGGATATCTTCCTTGTGGGTTCCATCTGTCTAGCCATCTATCTCGTGGCGCGTTAAAATCGTCCGCAAAGATAAGCAGGATGCCTTGGGGTGGAAGGGATATGAGGTGGTTGAAAAAAACTTCAATTTCCACCGTTGTATTGGGGGCGTACACACAGAAGATGCATATCAGTTCCAGCTCAAGCATAGCCAGAATGGAGACCCACCGACCCTGTTTTTCATTAGCAACCCAGTTTATCACCTCTACTCTGGATCCTAGGGGGATCCAAATTGTCACCCCTGTCGATGCATGTGTGATTGCATGTGCTATGTAAGACTGGTGTGGCCAGACATTTCAATGTGCTCTGTGGTGCTCAGGAGTATCGAGGAGGTGTGTCTCCTGGATGCAGATCACGTCTGGCCACGTTCTAACCCCCACTCCCCTCAGCTGGTCCCATATCACCTGGCATTTGGGGGGTTATATGAAGCGATGCCATTTACGTCCAGTGAGCGCAGGTCTAGATCTGCGTTTCTCAGACAACTCTTCCATTCCGGGTTTCTGCAGTACAAAGTATCCATATCCTTCCCTATTGTTGCATGTTTTTTTTTTTTTACACTCTTCTCCACTATTTCGAGGATCAATCCATCGTGCATAACGGTCCATACCTGAGAACTCTCGTGAGGCACGTGTGCAAGTCCTCTGTGGGCCAAAAAGAGTTGGTTTTTATGTGTTGGAGGTGAAGGTCCATGAGTGCACCACTGCAGGTCTGAAGTCTTCTCTTCTTCGAAAATAATGAAAAGATTTGTCGTTGCTACTCTTTGTACCCCGTCGAACTGAGTTAGCATTGCTTTTGCCCCCACTGGGTACTTCTTACTGATGAAGTTCTCTGCTTTTTCTTGGAAGTCATTGTCTCGGAGGCTGGAAAGGGACTAGCGGTTGGGGAACCTCCATCCTGGCAGAGTGAAACCCCCTCTGTCCCGGTGTGAGCCCAATCTTCATCTTGTCCCCCACGTAACGAAGGGGGATAGCTATCACCCCCCCCACTTTGGATAGCGGGGCCTCATACCGGCCCATCGCTATTAGCTGTCTGAGCTTTCCGGCCCGCTGGCCCATCGCTGTTTCATTTTTTTCCTTTGTTTCTTCTGCTGCGGGAGGGGAAGGTATTGGGGGGGATTGTGTGGTTCGTGCCACCGTCCCTTCACCGTCTCCCACTTCTGCCCCCAGAGGTTGTTTTGGTGGGTGAAAACGCAGCTGGACTATCTGTCTAATGCGCTGAAAAATCTTTGGCCACGAGATATGGGCCGGGGGGCCCTCTTCCAACACTCCCCTTACTGTTGGGCTGTGATCCAGCGTGCTGAAGAGCTCTATGTAAGTGCGGTCCCAGAATTCCTGAGAGGCTGACCCATATTGTGATTTGAGGCCTTCCAGAAGCCAATCGGCAATCACTTGCAGCTTTTGTTCTGTGCCCATTTATGTGGGGGGAGCTGCTGCTTCATCCTGACTGACTACCTCCATTGCCAACACATCGGGAGGGGGGGTGAGAGGGGACGACGGTTCTTCAGTGTCCATGGGCTGTGGGCCGAAGGCCTCCTGAAAGATATCAGTTTCAGACTGTGTCTCCCCTCTTGTGCCTTTTCTCTTTTTCGAGTTGTCCCCCCCTGCCACCCCCCTTCCTTCCTCCTTTTTGTTTTGAGGAGCGTCCCGCTTTGTGGTCCCCTGTCTCCCTGTAGGCTGAAGATTGCCCTCGATACGAAGGGGAGGGGGCTGGAAATGTGCCGCCAAGATTCTGTGTAGGCGTT